GTTTGCGCTCAGTCTGATCTCCGAGAGCTTCTGCAGGACCGCAGTGGTTGCGGGGGAGGCAGAGGGGGCTGCAGGCCCGCTTGCTGCAGCACCCCCGCTGCCGCGTGCGTCAGACACCGTAGTGCTGCTGCTCACGGGGGAGCTCTTCCGCGAGACGCGCTCCTCGGGCTCCTACATCCACCCGGCGCGGTCAGACGATGGGCATACAGTACGGTCCAGATCACAGTGCTCACATTGACCGCGGCGGACGCCGGCCGCGCCGGGATGTCGTGTGCAGCCCGTGCACCGGAGTCGCTCTCGGCGCTGGGCTGTCCGACATGGTGGTCAGTAGACATCGATCTCGAGCAGGGAGGCACGCACGGTGTTGACCAGCGTCGACGAGCTCGAGCTGCCCATAGGGCCAAGGGCATACCCGTACGACGACGAGTACGAGTAAGCGGGCCTGTCGCGCGCCCAACTGTCTCCCCTCGTCATCTCGGGAGACGGGGGAGGGGACGCGGGCACAGGCTGAGGGAGCAGACGTCCGCCCCCGTCGCTCCACATCCGGGAGCTCTCGGGCGGACTCGTGCCCGACACGGAGGCGCGGCGCGGCGCAGCGCTTTCGGGGAGGACGTCCGCGGGCCAGGCGTACACGACGCTGGCCTGCGATTTGAGGCTCGTGTGCGCGACGGTGGGCGCAAACACGATCAGGCGGTACTGCCGCAGGCAGAGCACGGACACCGCGTAGACAAAGTCGCGATCGCCCGAGATGAGCACGATGGTCGCGGGCGCGGGTGTGTCGATGGCGTATGCCATCATGTCGACTGCGAGCCCAACGGTTAGCAATCGGGACTGGGGCTCGCGCGGCGAGGCGTGGGGCAGGGTGCGCACCGATCATCATCTTATCCGCAACGTCCTTCCTCCCATTGTGCGGGCAGTCGATGAGCGAGACGCCGCAGAGCTGGAGCTCGGAGCGGAGCGCGACGCTCTTGGGGGACGACTGCTCGGGGAGCTCGAGGTACGCCTTGAACACCTTGACGCTCCCGTACTTGTGTGCAATCTGCCGGATCTTGTTGGCGACGGCGTTGCCAGAGATGTTCGACGGCAAGGCGCAGTTCTCTGTGAAGACGACCGACTGTGGCGTCAGCATCCGAGCGGCAGGAGACGGCGGGGGGCGCACCGTAGTCCCAGAAGATGGCGACGCTGTCCATTCCCGGCATGATGGCGAGCCCTGGGGCAGGGCACGGAGCAGCGAGAGGGAGGAGGACAAGAGAGAGGAGTTGGGATGTGCAGCGCCGGGCGAGAGTTATATGTCGGCAGCACGCGCGGGCCACGGGCCAGGCAACATGTGAATTGCATTGCATGGGGCCGCGACCGCGAATGATGGACATACAAATTCAGACAAGAGCATACAATCGACCCACACCCGCCGCCCCCTCGTCCCTCTGTCGGCTCGCGTACTCTGCACTTCTCCCGGCCCCAAGTCCACTCGCCTCGCACCTCCGCAGTCCATCGGAGGCCCCGTCCACCGTCGTCGAGCCCGAGTAGCCCACGGAGACCGCCGGCAGCTTCGTATGCTGTCCACAAATGGAAGGCGTCGTCGTTCGTCGCATCGCCTCTTCAATAGCAAAGGAATGCACTCGCACTGGCCAGAATTGCACCCACCAAAGACGTCCATCAGACACCCACACAGCCTCTGCACAGCGCACTCATTACACCTCGCCCTCCAATGACACCATGCGGCCAATGTCCCAGGAAAATCTCGCGCGCTTGCCATTCGTACGGTCGGGACAAGACAAACAGGCCGAGCCTTCGATCAACGAAGCCCGAGGCAAGTAACAACCATGTATAACCTCCACCGACACATCACGTAATCCCGTCCCCCCACACCAATACAGCTGCACCATCCCATCACCACCTGACCCGTCCACAGTCGACACACTGGGCCATCCGCGACCCAGTCCGGGGTCAGACCGCGCTGCGCTACACATCCCGTTATCGCACTCGTAATGCGCTAGCAATCCCCGCCTCCCTCGTGCTTGTCACCTGAGCCTGTTGCAGCGGCGTCCCACGCACACGGGTCACTTGCCCCGTCCCCCGTCCCCGCACGGAGCAACTTACATATTGTGTGCAGGGTCCAGCTTTCGTATAAGTACAGGCCGCCGGCGACCGCACCGCGCAAGCTGCACACCTAGCCCCTCCCTCCTTCCACCCGTACAGCCATCAACCATGTCGCTCGGCAGACAGACAGTGAGACTGGGACGGACGCTATTGCACACGCGCGTGCGCTTCTCCACTGCGTGCGTCGCCCGCGCCGCGCACGACTCGCCCCTCAAGGCGGACAACCAGAAGAACACGGGCGGGCTACCGTCCTACGGCCCCGTCGGCGTCGCCGCCGCCCTCGCAGAGCCCCCGTCGCCAAGTACGTCCCAGGCGCACCCTGCATTCCACCGCGTACTGACGGCGCCCAGCACCCGCCTCGACGCTCTTCGCGCACGAGTTCTCGCTCGCGGACCGCGTCGCGCTCGTCACGGGCGGGAACCGTGGGCTCGGGCTCGAGATGGCGATGGCTCTCGCCGAGGCGGGCGCACGGGCGGTGTACTGCGTCGACCTGCCAAAGGCACCGGGCGAGGAATGGACCAAGGTGCGGGAGCACCTCGCCCGGATGCATGGCGGCGCGGCGCGGGGCCGACTAGAGTATGTCAGCGGCGATGTGCGGAACCAGGTGCGCGCTCTGTGTGCGGCAGGCCGCCCTGTGCTCACTCGCCCGTGTAGGAGGAGATGTGGAAGATTGGCGAGAAAATCGGTGACACCGAAGGGCGCATGGATGCGTGCGTCGCCGCTGCCGGAGTCCTCAAAGCAAACACGGATTGCCTCGAGTACCCCGCGAAGCAGTTTCAGGATGTAGGACTTTGTCGTTGAGACGTGTGTGAGATTCTGACCTGTAGCTGAATATCTGTAGGTGATGGACGTGAACGTGAACGGGGTTTTGTTCGCGGCACAAGCCGCAGGGAGGCAGATGGCGCGGTTTGGGAATGGTGGAAGCATTGTCTTGATAGCGAGCATGAGTGGAAGTATCACAAATAAGGTACGGTGGTCCAAATATGGCCGTTTCTGGCTGATGCGGCGTAGGACCATGCGTGGGTGTCGTACAACACGTCCAAGTCTGCTGTCTTGCAGATGACGCGCAGCATGGCGTGTGAGCTGGGTCCAAAACGCATCCGGGTGAACTCACTGAGCCCAGGACACATCTACACAAGGTGCGTCTTGGTCTGCTTACATGGGCGTTCTAGAATCTACATGTTCGAGAGACACGAGCGAAAAATATGGATGGGTCAGACAGATGTTCTGTGTGAACTCCGTAGTTCTCCCGGTTGTTGTCTCTGTCAAGGGGACGAATGATTGCAGACATTGGTTCGCCTCTGCCATTGCAACGCTGGGCATCATGTGGTTCGCACCTTGGGTTGCTTGCGCGGGCGTGTTGGGACGGAGATGTTCGATTCGGACGTCTCAAGCAGAGAGTCTGGATGGGTCGGAGACGCGCTCTGTATGACCAACTCCGCAATTCTCCCGCCCAAAACGTCCCGGTCCTGGTCTGTGTCAAAGGAGATGATTGGATGCTGACTTGGATGTGCCTCTGCCATTGCGACCCGCGCCGGACATCATGCGATTCCCGCGGCGCGCCGCTCCGCAGCATGACCGCAGCGTACGTAGACGCGGAGCCGGGGCTGGTTGATAAATGGTCGAGCCTGAACCCACTTGGACGACTGGGACGGCCAGACGAGCTGAGGGGTGTGGTGACATGGCTGGCGAGCGATGCGAGCACGTTCTGCACGGGAAGCGAGTAAGTAGGGGGAGTGTGCACTCGAGTGCGGTTATGTGCTGACGTTATTGCCGCGCAGCATTCTGGTAAGCGGGGGACACCATGCGTGGTAGGAGGAGGGCGGAGATATGGGTAAACGGGGAGAAGAGAGATCCGGAATCCAGAATCTGTAACGTTGGGTTAGACTCGCAGGGCAGTCGGACTGGGAACACGTTCTTACCGTTTTCGTTAATTCTTGCTATAACAAACGGGAGATTCAGAGTACGCAAACGAAGAGCAACCTGGTCAGAGCGTCTGGGTGCGAACCGAGGGCTGGGTGTAATATACGAACTGCAATTTGAGCAGACAGGCAAGCCGGACCGAACAACTTGCCGCGGTATTTTCGCGTAGTTCATTGGGCGATATGGGTGAGTGTGACATTGCGGGGTCACGGATGAGACGCTGAGGGCGAGAGAAAGAGGAAGTGAGGGGACATGTGGGCGGCGAGCAGGCGGAGAAGGGAGGGTATGTATACGATCATGGGATATGCAGGACGGGTTCCGGGAAGGGTAGTCTGTGCGCAGTGGGCGAGGCTGCGGATGGGGATGAGTGATGGAGACGTAAGACGGGTGAAGCGAATGCGCAGCAGGGAGCAGGGAGCGAGGAGAGTCAGCCGCAGCAGGGAGAGGGTGGGCGAGTGAGACGGCAGCAGCGACGGGGCGACGGGCGACGGGCGACGGGCGTGACGAGGCGGGACCGCCGATGTGACTGACGCCTGCACGTGCTGTGACGGCGGGCGTGACCGAGCAATCGATCGAGATATTGTGCGCAGTCTGTGCTTGGCTGCGCAGTTGGACGCAGAGGGCGATCTCGTCCACCGCAGGCTGCTCGCCGCAGCCCCTCTCCCTCTCGCCCTCCATGCACGACTCATCCCCCCCAAGGCCGCCCCCGCCCCCCCGCAAGCCTCGCGACCGTGACCCGGCGCAGCCCACGGATCTCGTCGACAAAATCGTCGCCCTCCAGCGCAGGCAGGCCGCGTACGTTTCTTCTTCCCTCTCCCATCCCTGTCCTAACTCTGCGCCCCAGGGCCACAAAACCAAGAGACAGGCCCGACAGACCCCCCGCCGTCTCCCCCTCTCGCCCCCCTCGCCCCTCGTCGCCCCGTCGCCTCCACGCCCCGCCCCTCCCGAACCCAAACATCGTCGTCTCTCATCCCACCACAATGGAGGCAGACCCAGATGATTTCTCTCGCCGTCTCAGAATATCTGCCAACTCCCCCCGCTCATCCCACTCCAAACCTGTCCCCGGACCCTCCTCCGTTAGCCCCAAGAGGCTCTACAACCCCGATGCCGACCACTCCCGCAGGCACATCCTCACCGCAGAGCCCGACACAATTTCCGATGCCACCTCCAGCTCATACGCACCCCGCGCCTCCGTCCCACATGGCCCGCGTCCCCACCACCATCCCCAGATCTCCCAATCGCGCGCTGCCGCCGATTCCCACCGCCAGCTCTTTGACTATCGCAAGGACGACCCCGTCCGCTTCTCCGTCCTCTCCCGCCCTCATCCCTCGTCTGCCTCAGGCACGAACGGCTCGACTACCGCTCGACCAACCCCCACCCCCAAGTCCTCCGGCGATTACGTTTCTGCGTCCTCCACATCGTCCGCGTCATACGCACAATCAACCCTCTCCTCAAGTTTTACCCTCTCCTCCAACACCACCGACTCTTCCACCCCGTCTGCCCTCTTCGAGAACCCGAACGGCCATGCACGACGCTCGGAGGACAGCGCCTCCAACACGAACGCTTTTTCGATGCAACTCAAGAAACTCTATCGCACGATCAGTGCACTCGAGGCAAAAATTCTCGGGGAGGACAGAGACAACGACCAGGAGGACGACGGCGACCGTGAGCCCCGAGTAGGTATCCTACTCAAGGGCCGGCCCGGTAGCGCGACGGAGACCAAGGCTGGCGAGGATGAAGCCGAGCGATGGAGAAAACTGATGACGGATCACAAAGAGTTTGTCTGTTCACCTCTCTCTTCTCGCTTTACTGACCGCTTCTTGCGTTCCATTCTAGCCTTGCGGAGATGATGCAAAAACTCCTCACCATGACACTCGCGCCGTCCGTTCCAGCCTCTCTGCGAAACATCCCCACAAAGTACAACCTCATCATCCGCCTCTGGACTCATGCGTTCCATCGCCTACTTGAATTACTGCGCCGCGCCGCTTCCCCTCCGAACACTTCCGTCATTGCATTGGAATATCTGCAGGTAGCCGCTCGCCTTCCGATTTTATGCCTTGACACTAATCGCCGTGACAGGATTTCATTTACTATGCATACACATTTTACACCGGCCTTCTCGAAGAGCGCAATTTGCAAGACTTCCGGAGCGGGTGGATTCAAGCGCTCGGAGACCTCGCTCGGTATCGCATGGCAATATGCGGGCTAGTGGAGAGCATTCAGATGCAGAACGGCCCTCTCATGGCTGCCACTCTGCCCCCGGCATCCGCACCCACCACGACCGCGCAACTGGACACACTCCGTTCCGCGAGCATATCGGCAAACTCCGACCATGCCGGCACAAAGCCTGTGTCGGCGACCCCTGCGGCGCGGATCGACGACTCGCCGCCTTCGTCTCATGTCGAGCAGGCGCTCCAGCAGGGCGTCCCGAGCGTCGGGCTTGCAGCCGCGCGTCTTATGGAGCTCGAGCCTGAGAAGGAGCGGTGGCGACAAATCGCGCGCGATTGGTTCGCGCGTGGGCTCGCGCTCGCGCCCGGCACCGGCAAGCTCCAACACTACCTGGGATTGCTCAGCAGGGAGAAGGAGGGTCCCGGAGAGGAGCTCCGCAGCGTGTACCACTTCGTGAAGAGGTGCGTGATCAGTGTTTTCAGTCGCTGATATGGCGGCGCTGACGACTGATCCGTAGCATGATCGCCATCCATCCATTTACCACGTCGCGAGAGTCGATCCTGCAGCTGTGGTCCCCTTCGGCGCAGATGCGGCGCCAGGCGCCCGACGCCGACCTGACCGAGCTGTTCGTCCTGTTGCACGGGATGTTGTTCACGAACATCCAGCTGGACGACTTTCGGGTCGTCCTAGATCGGTTTGAAGAGAAGCTATATATTGAAGGTTCGTGCACGACACTAACACGGGGGTTCATCGGTCTATCAGAACAGGCAGGCACTGTGTCTCGAGAGCTCCCGAGAGGTTCTCTCGAGACCCAGTTCCTGACGGAGTTGGTTCATTCCGTGATCCTCTGTGCCAGGAGGCTGTAGACTAACTACGTGTACTTTGTAGAGGGTGCTGTCGTGGAGGAGCGAGATTGGATCATGATGGCTACCGTGAACCTCGCCGTCATCCTTGAATATGGCCGTCCCACCGCTGCCTTAAGGCGCGTCGCAGGCATCGCGGGCGTCGGCAAGCCCGGCTCCAGCCCCGCTGTGTCGACTGCCCCCGCGGGCAAAGTCCGACTCATGGCCAAGAGGACGGAGGAGGACGAGAAGACGATGGACGTCGACGGCGACGAAGCGGACACGGAGGGCGACCCCAAGTCCAATGGAATGGTCGTTTCGCCGATCGTACCAGAGCAAGCGGCACTCCCAGCTGGGCCCGAGCTCCCCCAGGGTCTGAAGTTGGGGATGCAGCTTGCGTTCTCGATCCTCGCCCACGCGCTCCAGAAGCCAATGCGGCGGTCGTCGCCGTTCGCGCACTCCACGCTGAACCCCTACCTCACCATCTTCCTCACGTTCCTCGCGACCGTCATCAAGGACGGCCACGCGCTCTCGGTGCTCGAGCGGGCGATCCCGTGGAACGACCTCGCCAAGTTTTTGAACAGCGCGCCGCGGCGTCTGATGTTCCAGGAGTACCAGAAGGAGCGCGGCGACGGCCCGCCGCTGCTCACGAGCGGGTGCAAGCCGCTCCCCGAGGACTGGTGTCTGCGCGGGATGGGCTGGGGCGGGAAGCGCGTGTACCCGATGGGCTTCTGGGGGAAGGAGGCGGGCGCGGAGGAGCGGACGGTCGAGCTGGACGTGCTCGACAAGGTCGAGGGCGGCGACCAGCTCGACGGGATCATCGAGGACGGCGACGACGACGACTCGCACGCGGACGCGCAGCACAACGAGCTCGCGAAGCGCTGGGTGCGCGTCGCGCGTGCGGGGCTGAAGATCGCGAAGCATGTGCACGGCTTCGAGTACGTCCCCCCGGCGAACGAGGAGGGCCGCGGGCAGTGGAAGGTTGAGGGTGTGTTGGCGGCGAAGGTGGCGCGATGGCGGGAGGAGGAGCGCCGGGAGCGCGAGGAGGAGGAGCGGCGGCTGCGGGGCCGGCGGTGGGACGAGGACCTGATGGACGTAGACGATGACGCGAGCCTGGACGCGGAGGCATCGTCGGACGATAGCGAGGATGATGAAGGGGACACGGCCGAGGTGAGGGCACTCAAGGTGAGTTTGAGTCTGGGCTTGCACTCGAGGTCGCCGTCTGACACTCGTCTCTAGGCCCGACGTCGGTACCTGAAGGGCCTACTGCAGTCATCACGCAGAGGAGGACCTTCTTTGTCAGCATCGCGTCGTCGACCTCGCGGATCGCGTCCCACCAGGCCATCCAACGCGCGCTCGTCGCTGTGTATGGTGGCCGGCTACACGATCCTCGTTATCGACACGAACATACTGTTGTCATCTCTATCGATGTTCTCCTCGCTCGTCGAGAGCCTCCGGTGGACGGTTGTCGTGCCGCTTCCAGTCATCATGGAGCTCGACGGCCTGGCGAACAACCCGACCCCTCTCGGCGACGCGGCGACGTCCGCGCTGAGCTTCATCACGTCGCACATTCGCTCCCACTCTGCCTCGCTGAAGGTGCAGACGTCCAGGGGCAACTACCTGTCGAACCTGAACGTCCGCACGGAGCAGGTAGAGCTGACTGGAGACGAGGCATCCTGGGAGCGGAACATGGACGACCTCATCCTCCGCGCGGCCATCTGGCAGGACGAACACTGGGCGGACAGGTCGGGCCTGCTCCAGTCCACAGACGCCCCGCGCGACACGGCCGGTGCGGCAAAGGTCGTCCTGCTCAGTTTCGATCGGATGTGTAAGTCGTCGCGCTCTCGCACGAAACGGTCGTGATACTGATGGCACGCCTCCCTGATCCCCCCCCCCCCCCCC